TCACAAACAAATGATATTTTATTGATTCAAAAGAAAGTAATTCGCAATATGTGTAGGGCGAGCCTTGTGGAACACTGTCGTCCATTATTTATTAAACTTAAAATTCTCACTGTTGTAAATTTGTATATTTTCTGCTCATTAATGCACATCAAAATGAACTTACAAGAATTTGTCACAAGAGAGAGCATACACAACCACAACACAAGAGGGAAGGTGAGACTTGATATCCCAATGCACAGATTAGCCAAAACTGGGTCATCTCACAAAATTAACTGCATTAGATTTTTCAATAAACTTCCTTCATATGCTAGAACTGCACCAGTCAATGTTTTTAAGAAGAAAATGTACGATTGGCTATTAAAAAATCCTTTTTATTGTTTAACTGAGTTTTTAGACTGTCCTGTGATCCTAGATTGATACTTGTAAATAGAATTGGCCAAGAAATGTTGTTATTGTCAGTAGTATTTGGGCCTATATAGGTTTATGATTGTTATATGTGTAGATTTTATTTTCCTTAGTATTATGATAGATTTAGCCTATATTGTATGACGAAGCCTATTTCATGTAATATGATCAATGGTGAATAAAGATTTCTGATTTCTGATTTCTGATTTCTGATACATAAAACATAAAAAAACATTTGTTTCAAAATAAATTTTTAGGTAAAAGAAAATTATTTTGGAAAATTAAAAAAAAAAAATAAGTTTGCGCTCAATGAAATTGTATAAATTATAGGTCTATAAATATTTGAAAATAGCCACTTTGTTCTAAATTTTATGAGGATTGCAAATATATAATAATATAAGGAAGTAGATTTGCAAATAAATAAGTTATGGGCAAAAAACAGATTTCAGTACATAGCGTTTAGCTAAGAATGCATAGCCTAACCATAGCTAGGAATCTGGCTGATAATTTACATCAATATCACTACCTACTTCTTCAAGATCATCAACCAGCCCTTCAAAATCACTTAAATCTTCTTATAATGCACCACGTATATCACTACTTTCGATTTTTAACACTAAAACAATGATAAACGTAATAAAACACATCAGTCATCGGTCCGAGGTTAACCAAGCTGTTTACAAATACGCACGTCAGCTGTCTGCTACAATATTTTCGGAACTAAAATGAAAAGCGCTTAGAGACAGACCTCCGGAGAAAGCTCTGAATCTGTCAAATAAAACGATACCTAACTCGATCCAGTTCAATCCGATTTTGTCAGTCATAGAGCCTTCGCCGTAAACAGTGTTTGTGAGTCGATGCAGCGAAACAAAACACTACACAAAGTGTGTTATGTGTCGCTGCAGCGACAAATAACACTCGGAGGGTTAAAAACTTACCCTGCAGTAAATAGTAATTAATTCTTTGTCTTAATAATTTACTTGTGGAGCCTATGAAATAACTATTTTAACTTTAATATGTTGACTCTATGTAATTGTTGATGTGAATTCTGTTAATAATAGCATAGCCGTCTCTAGTATAAAGCCGCGGCAATTGATGTGGCAACACCGCGACTAGTTCCCACCCTGGTCACACTCCAGGTATTGCCGCCAGTGGTAAAACGTGCAACATTTTGCCAAAACTGTGTTAAAAGCTATGAAAATGGAACCATGCAGTTCAACAGATTCATTTTTAGCATGAAATGCCGCTTACAATGTTTCAGATTGTATTACAAAATACTAATTAATTCATGTTTATATAAACATATATTCACCACTTAATTACAACCCTCAATATTATGCACAGGCAATATACATTTATAATAAAAACGGATCCATTTTGGAACCTAATGAGTTTATGAAAAAAAATACTATTAAAATAGTCATTGAATAGTCATTTATTCAGTCTTTAAACAATACATTATTGTAATTGACATCGTCATTATTATTGTAAAAAGATATAAGATGCAATACTTATATAATAATTAATAAAATTAGACATTAAAAATCCAAAATATAAGCTATAGGCAAACTTAACAAACTTAAATTATGAATGACAGTGGGTCTTTCTTAAAAAAGGCTAATGGTTATCACAGGTGTAACAATTCGTTGTTACACAAATATTTCAAATTATGAGTATCAATAGTGTATTGATTTTTAGTTTTGATAATACATAATATGTACAAAAACTGTTTGTTCATACTATATTACTTTTGCTATTTTAGTTTTATATTTTTAATCCAATGTCTTACGTTTAGTTTTAATCAGGTAGGAAACGTGCATTTTCTTAATCAGAACACGTTACTTGATCAAGTGTAAATGTATAGCTCTTATCCACTCATCTCGACGCGGACCTTCCAGAGGGAAGTGGAATAATTGTATATACACCTCAGTTTTTAATGATTTTGGGTGGTTACTATTGCACCCCGGCACGACACACTTATGAGGCATAACACACTGTCACTACAAATATCATATCATAGACAAAAAGAATTATTCTTTGTTCTACAGCAGACTACAACGTGTAGTAAGATTTCAATTTTTAAAATAAATTTGAATTTATATATAGACCATCAGCTGTGCTGCAGGAAGGTATGGGGGTTTAGTGAGTGGGAGAAAATTTCGCGCCGTTCCGGCCAAACCTCGCATGCGGGGTTGGTTCGGCAGATTGGCCACAACCTAAACCCCAACTCTCACTTGTTACCTGCGGAGAGCTACCTTCTGCCACTGGGTGTTGGTCCACCTACAAAACCAAGTGAGGGGGGCCCTAGACTAAGGTGTAATGCGATCCGTGCCAAGAGTCTTGTGGCACTGGGGGCCTAATATTCAGTGTCTTAATAGAGCCTTCTGGGAACCAGGGGTAACCCAGTCGTACGCACCCCTTACCTCTCTAATCGGGTCACTGGAGAGGTGGACTTAGATACCCGGTATTCGTGAGAACAATGTAGACAAACTGACCCAAATGGAGGAGGAAGGTCTACTGAAATCTGACGATGACGACAAGCTCGCAGAAACCGGAAAGGAACGAAAAACGACTTTCCAGGGGCGAGTTGCAAAGATGGAGGATCTTATCTTATCTTATCTTATCTAACAGGGGCAGGTCAAGACCTTAAAGCACTTCATCCAAAATCAAATTATTGCGCACCCCAGACAATTGCTTTCTTGTTGACCTACAAGTTAAGGCGCCCAATGAATGCCTGTAGCTTCCCAATTAGTTCATCCTCAGGAAGGTATCTACCTCTAGCCATATTTCCAAGAGTTATCAATCTAGCGTCAGAGAGCTCGTTACAATCAAAGAGTAAGTGATCAGCTGTCTCTTCTGCCCTATCACAGTACCTACAGATCGGTTCACCATCATATAAGCCCATCCGTTGTAAATGTTTCCTGAATCTTCCATGACCAGTTATCAGTTCAACAGTTAATTTAATTCTTCGTCTGTCTAGTCTCAAGAGGTCAGAGGCGACCTTTTTAGAAGGCCTAAACAGAGTAAGCTTGCTGACCCTAAGAAGAGGAACATCGACCCAGCGTTTGCGATGCTTTTCCTTGGCCCATGACGCAATCGAAGAACATGCACTGTTTCGTGAGATGCCACAGAAGGGTTGTGGGCCTATCATTGATGTCGCAGAGGCAGTATTTGCCAATCTGTCTGCAGCTTCATTACCTTTAATGCCTGAGTGTCCTGGCACCCAGCAAAGCGTAAGGTCATTTCTCCTACCCAACTCAGACACAGAAGCAAGACAGTCCCACACGAGCCTGGAGTTGATTTCTTAAGAGTTTAATGCTTTTAAGGTCGCTTGACTATCAGTATAGATATTGATTGTTTTGTCTCTGATATCTTTGTTAAGATGTTCTCGAGCACAAACCAGAATGGCAGTGACCTCTGCTTGAAAAACAGTTGGGTACACCCCCATTGGAAGACAAATGCCAGTGCCTCCATTTGTCCAATGCACACCTGCTCCAGTGCCCCCATTATTGATCTTAGAAGATGGAGGATAGCGGATGCTTTAGCCAAAAGCGAAAAGGTGCTATCCAGAAGTGAGAGGAGGCTGGTGTGGCCTGCCAAGCACCCTAACTCTGCTCCCTGCAAAGCCAGTTCCTCCAGGAACTAGGATGCTGCGAAAAAGCAGGGCAAGGGTGGTACCCCCAAAGCTGACTCTAATGAAGCCTCCAGGAAGAAAGGTGGAGGCTGTGCTAACGCAGCAACAAAGGATTGGCTGGTCAAGCAAGTTCAGGAGCTGAGTTCTTTCAGGGAAATCTCGCTACGGCTTGCCCCAGCCAGAGGCCTTGTGAAAGCTGTGAAGGTATATGTGCCCAGCCCTACAAGGTCTGCGTATGAGATCCCTTGGCCCATTGATGGGAGATGAAAGGGAAGAACAGGTTACCATAGTCAAAAGGCTCTCACGGTTCACCAAGGACCTGGGACTTGACGGAGAATGAGGACCTGTGAACGAGGGTGCACAATAAGCTGTTCTAGCTGCGATGCAATCCCATGGTAACTTGTAAGCCTGGCCCTCTGTTAAAAAAAAAAAAAGCTGTGCTGCGATTACCATAGCTTCTGGCGCACACCACTGTGAGCGCCTTGTAATTACAAACGGCTTTAGCGCCACGTAAATACACGGCGGTAACCGCAGCACGGCTGACGGTCTATATTTAATTATTTTTGTCTATGATCATATTGACTCTAATTGTGTAAAACAAACAGATTAATAACCGGGTAAGGGACTTCAAGCAGTACAAACTAATGGCTGGAGCCGGCTGGACTATGCCTCGGATGCGACGTTGCCAGATTTCACTCGCCGCGGCTTAATACTAAAGACGGGTATAATAATAATAGGCTATCAGAATGTGTAGGCCTATATTCTAAAATTACAAATTATTAAATTTATAAAGTGGGTTTAACAATATAGGCTACCTAAATAAACAAATCATATCTTCGTTGATCACAAATCGTTTACTATCAATATGATTCTACTTGACAAGCCTTCTACTCAAGTAGAGTGTACCTTGAAAAATCAATACATGGTAGGTAAATTTTCCAAATTTGTGTTAAATACTTGCTTAAACTTTGAAGTTGAGTAGAAACACGAAACACCTTCACTGACTGTGGCTTTTCTAGCGAAAACACCAGCGAGTCCCTGCAGTCCGAGCACTGGTGTTAGATCGGACTCAAATACTCTTGTATCTACTTCTTGGAGGCAAATCAAATCCGCGTTGTAGCCTGAAAGGACACTAAATAAATGAAAAAAGAAGTAACGAACCTTAAATATTTATGCCTAACAGGTTTAGTTCAATGAATTCTGTAGTGCAGGATTTAGGCCTAACTAATATTGTTCATTTACTAATTAAAGGATTACACAATTCTAAATTTCCTGTTCAGTTTTATTTCAAACTAGGTGAAACCCGTCAAAATCATCGGTTCCTTAAAAGGCTTACGCTAATTCATCTAACTGTGATAAATAGAGTGAAATTTTTAAAAATGAGCATTTAGCGTTGTTTAATGAGTGTAAAAACAATACTGTCTATTGCGTTAGTTACAAAATATGGTTGATTATGTGAATTGACGTACGATGATTAATCGAAAACCCCTCAATATATTTCCATATAAGTTTGCCAAAAGACTGTTTAATAATTAATATATAAACAGTCATATGTTTTTCAATTGTTTTGTTAAAAACAGTAAATAGTTTAGTGTGTTGTTTTGATGAGAAAAATAAAGAAGATGATTTTTTGTTAACATTTATTTTATTAAAACGTTTTTTATTTTGTCATTTCTAATGTTTAATCGTCCGTGATATCAAATCAATTGAATCACGCACAGTGACCACTTCAATTGGCGACCGTGACAGGACAATAAGAAGAAATGACAAAATTAGGGTTTGGAGATTTTACCATAGAAATGCTGGGGGAACGTCTGAATGAAGGTGAGCAGATGTGGACGGGAGGCGGAGCCTACGAGTGTCGTCCACGGCTAGAACAAAATTCCCAGTCGGTAGAGCTAAGACCACCAGCGGACCCGGTCAGTATGTTACTAGCAAAGATTTCGGTGCAGTTAGAAACTCGATCAAAACAATTGGATATTCATTTTGCAGACATGAAAAATGCAATTTCATCCTCAATCAAAAATATTTTGGAAAACCAATCAAAATTAGAAACTAAACTTATTACCAACACCTATGAAACATACAAATCGGACATCGAAATTAATTACAATTATATCGAATTCAACAACCGGGAAAATATCTTGCAGTCAGCCGAGGACTCATCAGCCATCCTGGGAGGTAAAGAGATCCTATGTCATACAGAGACTTTTGAGGATTCGTCGGCCTTCTCGGGAGATGCAAAAGAGATCCTGAATAGGACAGTGATGGTCGAGGACTCATCAGCTATCTCGGGAGATAGACACGAGATCCTGCGACCAACAGAGAGGGTCGAGGAATCAACAGTCATCACAGGAGGTGCAGAAGAGACCCTGCGACGGACAGAGATGGTCGAGGACTCATCAGCCATCTCGGGAGATAGACACGAGATCCTGCGACCAACAGAGAGGGTCGAGGACTCAACAGTCATCACAGGAGGTGCAGAAGAGACCCTGCGACGGACAGAGATGGTCGAGGACTCATCAGCCATCTCGGGAGATAGACACGAGATCCTGCGACCAACAGAGAGGGTCGAGGACTCAACGGTCATCTCGGGAGATAGACAAGAGACCTTGCGACGAACAGTGATGGTCGAGGACTCATTAGCCATCACAGGAGACGAGGATGGGATCCTGCATCGGACCGATTCTCCTGTGGTCACGTCAACCGCAACGGACACCGAGATACTACCTGCGTTCAATGTTACGTTGTGTGAATACTTTGAGGTGGAACACAAGCTAGGGAAGGGAGTGTACCTCTTGAGGTCTGAACCACCAATTAAGGTACACATGTCGGAGTTCAAAATACTTCCACAAACTCTCCGTGAAGCAACTCAAGCCGAAGATGATGTGCAAGAAGAACATAACGATGCCTCACCTGGGTATAACTTAAGGTCTAGAAAGAGGAAGATTTGAAATATATATTGAGGGTTTTGGGGGGGGATGATTGACGTACGATGATTAATCATCTATAAAGAAAACCCCTCAATATATTTCCATATAAGTTTGCCAAAAGACTGTTTAATAATTAATACGAGAGGTCATCCAGTGGTCGAAACTCGACCAAAAATATGTAATGTAAACTTACTCACTTCTCTATTTTCACCCCACACTGTAAATAAAACATGTGATTGGAGTTTCTTCCATTTGTTTTGATTTTCTGTTTATATTTCGTTGTTATTTCGTCACCAGCATGGCAACGCATAAGATCCATGTTAATTTTTTCAAATTTTTAAACTAATTTTTTGTGCTTATCTTTGAGCCTATTTAAATTTATAAAGGGATTCTGCACACCTACAGGAAAATAGCTTTCTAACGGTATGCGTAGATTTACCCCACGATGCACACGAGCTGAGAAAAAAGGTTTTAAAGAAACATGCTTGCCTATTAATATATAGATAGATATAAACAGTCATATGTTTTTCAATTGTTTTGTTCAAAACAGTAAATAGTTTAGTGTGTTGTTTTGATGAGAAAAATAAAGATGGTTTTTTGTTAACATTTATTTTGTCATTTCTAATGTTTAATCGTCTGTGATATCAAATCAATTGAATCACGCACAGTGACGACTTCAGAATAGCGACGTTTACATGCATTGTTGTTAATCAACGAATCTTATAAAGGATGATGAGATCTAGTTTAAAGGAAACATGACCTTCCTGTGACAGCACCTGCCTAAATGGTAACTGTCTTAAGTGGTAATGCCTTTGTGCCATTTTTTACAGTCTAAGTGCAGTGTTATTTTCAAAAATCTAGCTTAAGAGCAAGTTAAAAGGACCACGGTTCGTTATAGGCCACTGCAAATCATCTGTCAAGATATAGGAATTAATTTGGGTAAGGTTTCTGTGTTTGGATATTATTAGACACGATAAGAGCACAATAAACTTCTTCTGCAGATGAATAATCCGTTGCTTAAGAGAAATATAAGCCTGAATTAATAAATGTCACAATCCAAGTGCATTAAAATGGCTCTGGCCTGAACTTTTTTGTAGTTGAGAATTTTTTTGTTACTATCTGGGTAAGTTACATAGTATTTTTTAGGCTGCTGCTCGGTGTACTTTGAGAAATTTATTAGGGATAAATTAAATTGTTTTTATTGCTGAGTAGCGCTAGTAAACATGCACAACCCTTTTTGTTGGTTTAATATCATTCAAGGGCTCTATATTATGTTTTCACTAAGCTGAATGAATACATCAAAGTAACCTCTCTGAAAAGTTTGCAGTAAATTGCAACTTTCCAGATTTATGACTTTACATAAAAATTATTAAAAATTTAATCCAGTTGATGTAAACCACTATTAATTAAAAACGAGCTGTTGGCCCGTCATACGTACGGGAATCGAGTAGTCCATTAAACCAAAACTGTATATAGTGTGTCTACTAATTCAAGCAGAGTTTAAGCAGCTCAAAATTTATTGTAAAGTAAAAGTTGCCAAAATGAATTAAAACATGTAGGCCTAAGCATAGTTTAAGCAGCTCAAAATTTATTGTAAAGTAAAAGCTACAAAAATTAATTAAAACATGTAATAATTGTTGTTTTCCCAACCTTTCCTCAAAAAGTCGAGTAGTAAAATAATTTTCATAAGCTTTCTTTTGAAGATTCGTGAGCTTCGATTCGTATACAGCAATGGTTATAGAATCTTACTTATTTCCTATAATCAATGACAAAATCACAGAGTAAATAAGCTAACCTGATACTTCTATAGAATATTTTTTTATTCCACCAGCTGTTAGTTATAACAAATTATATTGCACTAAATCAAACTAAATATTTTTGCTCAAAAAACAAATTAGAACATCTAGTATTTTACTATTTATATTTAAATAATCTCTCATCCTCTTACCGAATAAATGATCGTATCAATGATTATAGCATTACACATAGTATGAATACGTCAACCCTACGTATGCAATTTCATTTCTATCCAAATGCTGATTTTGTGTCACAAAAACTGAATGTTTACAGCTGTTACGTTGAGCAAATCGTATTATACCAAAAGCTTGTCTAGAATGTTAGGGTTGGCTGCTAGACTTTTTGAAAATTCAAACATAATTTCTAAAAAATTGAAACCCTAAACTAAAATTATGGCTTCGACATTCCCTAGTTCTCAAAACTATCTTTCTTTCAACACAAAAATCGTGAAAATCCGTCAAGTGGTTGATTCAGAATTGTGAAATAAAAAAACACTGTCACGTTTTAATATTATAGATGATATTTCTGACAATACTTAGAATCCAAGGTAGAATTGGGAGCATGGATTCAACACACAACACTGAATTTTACGACACTTTTGATAATAAAAAAATACCCCCGCTGCAGCAAAACTGCCAAATAAGCAAATTTCCATTTGCCTGGATTAGTTTTCAATTAATCTATTAAATTAACATTTATTTTTAACGAGTAGCTAGGTTTACTGCTACAGGGAAAAGAATAAAGTGGATTTTTTATTAAAATATTAATACCTTAGTATAAAATAAATAAATCTGCCAAGTTTGATCAAAATGTATCCATAAACAAGCCAACTACAACATTTTACAATATTCTCCATAAGAATAAAATGGGAATTTGAAATGAACATTTTTTTCCATTTTCTCCGTAACCAATAACCATACAAAAACACTTTGATATACTAAATTATTTGTTTTTTAAGCTCTTTAAAAAGGCCTGGAGAAAAATTGATAAATTTTGTGTTTTAAGGGTAAAAAATGAGAAACCCCCAAAGTTTTCTACTCCAAAGTAGAATTTTTACTTCCATTGAGCTTACCAAGTAATTCCTTCATAAACAACTGTTTCCTGTAATCAATATTGAGAGCATAAGCTGGGCAATACGGGAAGTACTCAGCTTGGGTAGTATCCATAGATGTGTAGGTATCGGCAAGTAAGTTGTAAGACACAACTCTGAAACTGAAGAAAAACAATGAGATGGTAAGTACCGTGCTGTGAAATAATATCACTATTCAGTTAATTTTGAGTTCTTATCTTAAAAAATATATTAATTATTACCAACTGATATGGAGACGCCCCTTATACTCTGTTTACAAAGTTTAGGCTGTTAGAGGGGAAGCAATTCCTGCTGGTCTATTTACGTGAAGCTGAAAAAAGTGGTGGGGAAACCCAGGAAATCTTCCCCTTAAAGTGCCTTAATTTTGTGAACGGACTATAGTGACATATCTAGGAAAGCTCCCTAGTCCCTGGATAGAGTGTAGACCTACCTAAGTTAATGTAAAACAGTTTTAAACCAGCTAGACACAATTTCAAGATGCTGAAGTATTGAAATGCAGTTAGGCCCAAATCAAAACGTAGTTTATATTACATACATCTATGTTTCAATCTCACAATGGGTTTGACCAATAATTTGACCAATAATAACATGATAGCCCAAGCTCTCAATCAAATCTGACAATTGCTGTTCCCATCTTGGAAAAATGCTGGACCCAATTGCCATTAGTGGAAAAGACATTCAACGATTTAATTTTACCATTCTGTGTTCAGATCTAGGCCTGTTTATCTTTTTAATTTTAAGTAGGCTAAGATATTTTGAATGTGACTTTGCCCATTGCATGTATATATTTAACGGCAATTTAAACTATTCTGATTCTAATTCATTGAGGTATTTAAAATTAAGCTTTTAAACAACAAGTATGTGGGCCTATTAGATTTTGACAAAACCATGGTTTCAACAGTTCCTTTTACAATTAATAAGCCTAAAAAAATACACTTTCCCTAATTACACAAAATAAAACTTTAAAAGAGAAAATAGGCCTACTAAGCTACCTAACTTACCTTCCATGTGGTGTCTTTTTAGAAGTAAATAAGTGACGATTTTCAAATGGACAGTGACCTGGTCCTGCTTCGACAGCTGATGAAGTCTCTCGTTCTAAACAAGGTCCAGCCGTAGTGGAGTTTTTAGGAGTGCATTCCAATTTTAATTTATGTCCTATATCACTGTTGGCCGGTAAATACATGAATCCCTCTCCAACAGTGATCCACTGATCATTTTCATTATTCTTACTGACATTTACAGTAGAGTTTGTATTTTTTTTAACAGACTTCTTCCAAACAAACGATGATAGTGACTTGTCAGTAAACTTGGACTCAAATGAAACAGGATAAACAGGAAATCCCGCCATCGTACTTGAGGGTAGAATCATTGAGTCAATCCAAGGAAAATTAATAGCAACGGAATAATTTATCCCCATAATCCTCAAAGCTAGAACTCCAAATGGGTATTTACTGGAAAAAAATATATCCTCACAGTTAACGTCTTTTGATACTTCAACATCGTTTGCAATCAGTTCTACTACCACTTTCTTTTCAGGTTCTTCATTCCCTTCTTTCTTTTTTAGTTTCGATAACTTTTTTCCAACAACTTTTTGTACATTTGTGGACACTCTGGACAAGAAAGAGTCTACTGTTTCAACCAGTCTTCTTTCAAAATTAAATTGTCTATTAACATTAGGTGCTTCACTAATGAACCAAAAGCTGACTTTAAACGTATCTGCTCCCTCAGAACAATGAAAATATGCCACTTTGGGATTGGGAGTGTTCATCCTTTGGGGGTGGTAAACCGATTTGAAGCAAGCTGCCTTTTGCAACCTTTTAAAAGATTGGAGGAAAATGTTATGATTATATTTCATAAGCTTAAACAGCATATCAGGTCAACAACAAATAAATCATTAAGTCAGTTTTAACTGTAGACAATTAAATATTACGCCTTTTCCTTATAAACAGCAGACTGGTAATTTATAAGTTCACAATAATCAAACTGAACCTTTAGAAAGTTAAGTTCATATATTAACCGTTGTTAGGCCAAGTTAACCCTAAATTTACCTACTCCAACTTAGTTGATGAGTAGGACTTATTACTTCCGGATAATTTATTGAATTGCCTTATTAACACTACGAAATAAGTATCAGAATGTTGCTTAGCTAGAAATAAAATGATTCCATTTAATGGTCAGGAGTAAAAATTAAGTATTTCTTTCATAAACACAAAATATAACAGCGCAGGGGCAGCACAAACAAACAACATACATAACCGAAAATAAAAATAAATAGGCTAGTAGACTAGACAAAAAAGACTGACACTGACGGAGAGCAGACAGCAGACGCAAACGGAAGATGGTCGAGTCGATATGAAGACAGGGAAGAAGACAAGCAGTAATCGAAGCAGGGAACTGAAGAATTGGCTTATGTATATGAAACGTATTGTTAATTACCTGGGGCCCATTTCATAATAAAGTACAAACTAATATTATTAGTAAGTCAGCTGATCGCCCAATGCAAATCTAATGGAAATTACAAGTTGTAACTTGTAACTAATAGCTAATAACTTGTAGTTTATTATGAAATGGGCCCCTGGTCATAGATTTTAACACTTATTTTTTTCTCGTGTCCATGCCAGTGGCATTTCATAATGAAGTTTACAGCAATTCAACGCTTTGAAGGGAAAGTAGTCCAAACGCATCAAGTTTTGTTTATATCACTGTAAGGGAATTTCGATGGAAGCATGACGTCTGTAAAGCAAGACTTTTGGTTGACTGACAAGCCATAGCCAGGGTTTGTATTGATTGATATAGCCATCAAGTCATCACGTTATTGGTGTGTTGATCAACATTTAAAATAATAACAATTAAAAATACCAACAGCACAGTTGATATTACATTTGATTGTGTCCCTGCATTATACATATCCTTGTAAGATCTATAACCTATTCCTGTATACTATCACGGCCGCCTTTACTGTCTTATCTACAAATACCCCCGCCGCAGCAAACCTGCCGACTAAGCGAATTTCCATTTGTCTGAATTGATTTTCAGTTAAATATATTTTAATAACATTAGGTTTAACGAGTACCTAGGTTTGCTGCTACAAGGAAACTAATAAAGTGTGTTTTTGAGTAAAATATTGATAGCTTAGTACAAAATAAATAAATTTGCCAAGTTTGATCAAAATATATTCATAAACAAGCAAACTACAACATTTGACAATATTCTCCATAAGAATAACATGGGAATTTTAAATTTACATTTTTTTTAATTTTCTCCGTTACTAATATTCGAACAAAAATACTTTTATATACTAAATTATTTGTTTTTTTAAGCTGTTTAGAAAGGTCAAAAGAGAAATCGGGAAATTTTGTGTTTTGAGGGTCAAAAGTGAGAAAAACCAATTTTTACCCCATAAAACCCCCCGTAAAGCCCCGTTCCCATGGTCCGATCGTGCTGGTTCGCGAACTCATTCAAGTTTATCCCGCTTTACACCTTTGAACCAAATTTCATCAAAATCGGACAAAAATTACTCTAGTTATCGCGTTCACGGACGTATATATATATATATATTTATATATAATTCTATATATATATATATATATACATATATATATATATATATACATATATATAAATGTGAACGAATAGTGTTTTTGTCCTCTGGGGACATTAAAATGAAAAAGTAAATCGGTCCCGGGTCTAGGTCTTACCGTGCCACCTACGGTAATAGCTACTTCCGTAGCTATTTCCCCTATAGGGAAATTCGCTAAAATTGTTCTAATTAAACGGTCCTATGCTGCCACCTCCTGGAGGCCAAACAAAATCGTAGGGGATTGGGGTGCTGCTACCGGATTCTTGTATAGAACGTGCTTAAAATGTTAAATGAACGACCAGAAATGAAGTGAGCCTTGTGTGCGTATGCAAACTTGGCGTAGCTCCTAATGGATTTCGACAAGTAGTATCCAGCTAATGCCCGAAGAGTAGAGTAGAAGAGCGGGTTTTAGGGCCTTTACGAGGTAGTATATGGGTCTCAAACTCGTAGGAGTCCCACATGACATACTGCATCTGTGTGTGTTTGGATTAATTTTCCCGCTTTTTCACATAAAATGCTTTCTAGGCTTGCCAGACAAAAAATATACATCAACACATTATTTATATTTCGCGAATGCACTGATTAAACAGAAATACTGGACTACAAGATCGCACCACTCATCCTCTATTTATTTATTTATTTATTTTACATTCCAACGGACAAACTCCATTTTTACATTCTTACAACAAAACAAGATGGAAAAAATATATAATAACAATGATATAGCATTTAGCTTACTGTGTTCTTTATAGTGAGCATGACAGAGAATCCTTACTGCCCTCTTTTGCAGTAAGGAGCTCTGGCTTTAAGACTCACTGAGAGAACATGTACATTGTAGGTAACTGTACGTAAATAAATATTTCTGATTCTAAATTGATAGTGAAATATACAAAAATAACAATACAAATAGACTACTATTTACAGAACAACTGCCTAACCAAGAAAAAGTCCCTGCATTTAGATATAAATAGTGTACCTATTTGAATCATGGTAATTATGTCGACTCCAGTCAACGCTCTAAAAAATTTTTTTTTTATCTGTTCGTTTTTTAGTACTGATTCCAAAAATGATATTCATTTTTTGCGGAAACGTCCTGTTTTCCCGGAAAATGGGAAAAACGGGAAAAATATTTTTACCCAAAACCCATGTTGTGGGTACTCAAATTGTGCGGAATTTCCTCCTGAACAAGAATATGTAATATTTATTACGATCGGACCACTATTAAATATCACCGGAAAAGCGGCCGCTAAGTACTTATTACTGCCTCATGGCGCTAGCATTGCGGGTTACTCTAGGCCATTGTAGAATGCGGGCTTTATTTTGGGTTAGGATTGGTTAGGTTAGGTTAAGTTAGGTTAAGTTTGGTTAGGTTAGGTTAAGTTAGTTTAGGTTAAGTTTGGTTAGGTTAGGTTTGGTTAGGTTAAGTTTGGTTTGGTTAGGTTAGATTAGGTTAGTTTATCAATAACATGAGTATTGTAAGTAAACGAACCTTAAATTGTGTAATGTGGGCACTATTAAGTAAAATATCACCGGAAAAGCGGCCGCTTCCAAATTCCGCACAATTTGAGTACCCACAACATGGGTTTTGGGTAAAAACATATTTTTCCCGTTTTTCCCATTTTCCGGGAAAACGGGACGTTTCCGCAAAAAATGAATATCATTTTTGGAATCAGCACTAAAAAACGAACAGATAAAAAAAAAATTTTAGAGCGTTGACTGGAGGTCGACATAATTACCTTTAAGGTAAATAAATATTGATAATTAATTCTCCAAACTAGGGACCACGTTGAAGCTTCCTCTTCATCGAAGCTACACTGTCCAGGAAGAACACTACTGTACTCATATTTCGGTTTAAATACACACATAGTGGCGTCCCCATCTTTAAATAATTGATAATTGATATTTTGAGAATGTGGATTGAGATTCATTGTAAGTGTAGTCAGTGTCCCACTAAACTTTTCCGAATTCTTATCCATGGTTGATAAGAACCATGTAACTTAATTAAAAAAAACCGCAAGCCTAACCCAGAATTTACGCCTCCCAATTTTCATCCTCCCAATAGTTTTTTAATTTTTATTATATGAAAATAATTATGTTTTGTGATAGTGTGTTGTTTTACAGGCTTTGAGCAGTACTTCTTCCTGGTAAATTAATGACGTCATCTTTCATCTTTCGTTTCGTGTCTTGTTTTTTGGAATATCAGTAGAACGTGATTCAATGACAGTCTTCCTTCAGCAAAAGTATTAAAATTTATTGAATATATGGCATTCGTGTGTATTTCACCCTCGTAAATTGAACGTATACACCGCTAACGTTGCTATTATAAATCAAATAATTTTGTTCCAACGCAAATTAACTTGTTAAACTCAAAACTCACATCAACGATGGCGTCCGATCCACACTCAAAACACAGGATGCAAGTCTTCAAAAACAAAGGAAAAGATCAAGATGTGAGTTTTCGACACACAATTGTTGTAATAGTTTATTTTAAAATTGTAATTAGCAATATATTTGCTTGTAACGTAAGTTTCATCATCGATCAAACATGGTTGGCCATGGCCTAGGCCACCACGGACCTCCATGCATTCTATTTCTCAAGACCTTGGACAGTCGATTAATTAATAAAAATAATGACATTCAGAGTAAATGTATGGTTGTATTTTATATTGTACAGCTATATCCCTTAATATATTGGGTATGATATTAGTCCTAATAATTATTGGTTTATTAGATGCCAATGATTTACACTAAGGTCAAGGCTAAACCAAACCCTCCATTTACCATAGGCCTAAGTTTTGAATGATCATTGTTAGGTAGTAAATGTGGCTTTAGAATGATATTTTAGTAATAAGTACATCGCTTTAACACAGACGTTCAAAACGTCCTTTTTCATAAATTAGGCCTAGGCTAGGGTAACTTTGTTTATTTTCACTGAGCCCCTTGAGTTGTCTGGATTTGAAAATGCTAAAACTTATTATCAGTTGTGCAAACGATAACCACAAAATAATACATTATAGCTGAGTTAACTTACTAAGTTAGTTACCTCGTAATAAAAATACTAAGTAGAACTTGTGTGAAGGTTGCCTGTTTGATCAAAAACTCTTACTTGTCAGTCACTTTGATGAAGGTAGTGTTAAGGTAGGGAAACTACAATATAGTAAGATATTATCAGATTAAAAATTGCATATTAATTTGATGCAACTAAGGCTTTTGTATTGGATAGGCCTAATTTATTGTTTTCACACAATATAAAATCGATCATATGTATTTGATAACTTAAGTCAACATTTTAACCCATCTGGTGTCAGTCATTTTGTGTGTGGTTATGGTCGATTTTCAGGCAATTTGCAGCAATGTTTAACTTATTATCTTATCTTATTATTAAAGTGATAACAATACAATTTTATGTAAACGGTTAAGGCCATTTACCAAATACTAATATGGGCATATTGCACATCAAAATTAAGCTTAGATAGAGTGTGTAGATTTGCTGAAAAGTATTGATATGGACGAATTTCTTAAGGGCTCTGCCCCACAGGCTGATTTCCAAAGGGCTACGCCTGACATGCTTCGAAAGCTTAAATGATTTAATTTAAAAAGTCAATGAAACAGCTGGTTAGTAAGTTACAAAACATGTTTATTTACTTGAAAAAGTTTTTTGTGCTGCTTTATGTAGATTGA